ATGGAGTCAGGAGTTCAAGCTCCACAGCAGCAGCAGAAGGGGGTGTCAAGGTCACAGGCACCTTGAAGTACTCCCCACAGGGGATCAGTGGTGACACCACGGGCTTCTTTGACAGGAGTCAGCACCTTTCTAACTGAGGCCCAAGAGACAGGGGAAAGTTTGCACTGGATGCACTGAGCGCAGCCTCAAGGAATGCCAGGTTCCTACTGGCTGAGTGAGTCAGAGAGAGATGGGCTGAGTTGCCCTGAGGGGTGGAGGTCTGAGGTGAGTGAGAGCTGGCAGGAGGCCTCTGGGAAGAGACTGTGGTGCTCCAGGCCATCCCTGGGGAGCCCTGTGTGGCTGGAGTAGCTGACAGAGTTGGTCAAAGCCCATGGGCAGAGGGTTCTGAGGCACAGAGGGAAGGATTAGCCCCGCTCCCTGTCCCATCTGGACTTGACAACTGTGTCTCCTGGGAAGTACTGGAAGGTGGACAAACAAGGCAGAGCAACCAGCATGGCCCGGCCAGCACATGTATCAGACACATGGTCACACAGGATCAGTTCCTCTCATCTGTCCATCTGTCTTCCCATATTTGCTCTATGCAAAATGTCTGTGGTCCTTGTCTTTGCTTGTATCTGCTCCCTCCCCTAAAAATCCCATGTTTTGCATACTCCAGAAAACTTTTCAACTTCATCCCACAAGGTGTATGAACCCACTGTAGGCAGAAATACCCCTGAGTTTATACAATGATCCTCTCTTCGCACCCTTCCCAGGAAAAGAGGTGACCTGGATACCTGAAGGGATGGGGATTAGATGTCAGTGATGAAGAGGATTGTGCTGGACGTCCTCCAAACAGAGAGAGGTGGTGTGTCTGACTCGGCGTGGAAGCATAGAATCATAGAATTGTCTGGGTTGGAAGGGACATTTAAGATCATCTAGTCCAACCTTCAACATAACTGATAAAAAGCCATCACTAAACCATGTCACTAAGCACTATGTCAACCCATCTTTTGAATGCCTCCAGGGATGGTGCCTCAACCACTTCCCTGGGCAGCCTATTCCAATGTGCAATAACCCTTTCAGTGTAAAAATTTTTTCTGTTATCCAATCTGAACCTCCCCTGGCACAACCTGATGCTGTTTCCTCTTGCCCTATCACTTGTTACTTGGGAGAAGAGACCAATCCCCACCTCTCTACAAGCTCCTTTCAGGTAGTTGTACAGAGCGATAAGGTCTCCCCTCAGCCTCCTTTTCTCCAGGCTGAACACCCCCTGGCCCCTCAGCCTCTCCTCATAAGACTTACTCTCCAGACCCCTCACCGGCTTCGTTGCCCTTCTCCGGACCTGCTCCAGCAGCTCAATTTCTTTTTTTGTGGTAGGGAGCCCTAAACTAGAAACAGCACTTGAGGTGGGGGGGGGCCTCACCAGTGCCTGTTATAGGGGGACAATCATGTCCCAGGTCCTACTCACCATGCTGTTCCTGATACAGGAACTGGGCACACTGCTGGTTCATGTTCAGCCGACAGTTGACCAACACCCCCAGGTCCTTTTCTGCTGGGCAGCTTTCCAGCCATTCTTCCCCAAGCCTGTAGTGCTGCATGGGGTTGTTGTGTCCCAATGTTTACAGCAGGTGCTGCTCCCAGAGAAGTTTCCCTTAAAGGGCCTCATCCATCACCTGGGGAGAAAGGAGAAAAAAACCCTGTAGAGACAAGGAGATGGACATCTGTTTCCTGTTGAGTTTTGGCAGTTGCTGGTTCTGCCTCCTTTCAGACACTGCTGAGGGAGAAGGACTACGTGAATGACTGTAAAGGGGCATCTCTCCAACCCCATGAGAGGTGGGTGCAGGCCCCTGTCTATGGCTGGGCAATGGATAATAGGAGAAGTTCACCATGGACACTCCTCCCATGCTGAGGGCTGGTTGGGTTGGTTGTGATCTCCAGGAGGAGCAAAAAGCAGGAAAACAGCCTGCAGCCTCCTATCACCTGACAGCACACTGCTTGGTCTCTTCCTTCAGGCTCCTATAGGAATTTTCTGGTACCACAGGTACCACCTGGTATCATCTAGTACCAACTTTGGCAGTGTGACCTGGAGCTGAGAGGCAGCGCTTCTACACCAGGGTCTGTCTGCCTGAGCGGATGCTCCAGCACCTACTGCCTTGGAGGGCCATGAAAAGCCTGGCCATGGCCTGACTGCCCAAAGAACCACCCAGGGCTGAAAAACACCCCATTAGCCCTTATAAATCTGGAACACAGTCAGGGTCCCAGTTTCGTGTCTTTCCTTTAACTTCTCACCCTAATGAGCATCCTCATTGCAAAGGTGTTGAGTCCCAAGGAGGCCTGACTGAGAAGAGTCTCTTCTTCATTCCCTCCCATCAGCCATTTACACACATTGCCGAGGTCCCCCATGAGTCTTCTCTCCCCCAGGCTGAACACTGCCAGCCCTCTCAGCCCATCCTCAGAGGAAACATGCTCCAGTCCATGCACCACTTTGCTGTGCTCACTCCAATATCTGTCTTGTACTGGGGACCCCAGAACTGGACCCAGCACTCCAGAGAGCAGAGCGCTGAGCAGAAAAGAAGGATCAGGTCCCTTGTCCTGTTGGTGACACTCCTGCTACTGCAGCCCAAGCTGCTGTTGGCTTCATTGCCAGGAGGGTGCATTGCCACAGCAGCTCAGACCCCCGAACCACTGAAACTGGGTGGGACACAGCAGTGAGTGTTCAGGAGAAGTTTCCCAGCAGCTTGTCCAGCTCTTACTCTTTCCTCAACATCCTACAGTGAGTACTGTTGGAAAAGGTGCTCTTGGTAGGAGACATGACTGCTTTTGCGGTTTTATGTCCTAAACAAAGAAGCCCAAGGAAGGAAAATATCTTTCTTGCCCTGCATGTGAGGATCTGTGGAAGCCTCAACATGTGATTGAGACCCATCAGCCAGACACTAGACAAGATTCCCTGGCCAAGTGCTCAGGCTGTCCCCCTGCTTTTCATTGTTCTCCTGAAGATCTGTGGACTCACCGGTGCTTCGCCTCGGGTCATCCCTGTATCCCTGAGTCCCTCTGGGTTTTCTGCCCAACAAAAACCTGCAGGTGGCTGCATTTCCAGGATTTTCTTTTCTGGGCTCTAGTTTTGCCCCTCTATGAACAAGCCTCTTGTTATGTTATGTCTATTTAGGAAAGCAAAGAGGAACTCTCACACCTGAGCAATGTCACCAGAGGCCACTGTAAGGGTGTGTGGAAGGTGAGAGTACCTGGTTCACTAAGGCTGTCAGATCAAGTTCCTTTTCCTGTCAAAAAGAAGAGGAATTAAAAGGGAAAGTGACAAACAAAGCACACTAACACCAGTCTCTCAGTAAGAGACAAGGGACACAAGGAGAGAGACCAGAGCTTTTCAGCTTCTAATTGATGGGCCATTGGGAAACTGCAGATGTGGCTTGAAGTGGGTCAGGATGAGCTTTGTAAATCCCAAGAGGAACATGAGGATTATGGATCAGGGGGTTCCTGCAGGACTGGGCAACCCTTCTTAAGGAATGCTTAGGGGAAAGGTCAAAAGTGAAGGTGGAATAAGGACTGAGGAGGAGCAAGGAAGAATAGAAGGGGGTACCTGCAGCTAAGCAGGGGCTGGTCAGTACACTTGTTGGGATGAGGACTGCCCCTGATCACCACACTCCCTTCGCCTTCTTCATAAATTCTTTCTTAATCTTCCTTCTGTGTATCTTCGCTTCCTTTCCCACGTGTGAGTGCTCCAAGCTCTGAGTGTCAGCAAATAGAGTTACTGATGAAAAAGGGAGATCTGGGTGCCAGTAACTGGGCAACCAACAAACGGCCATAGGGATTGTAGACCTGGGTGCCAATAACTGGATGGACCAGGGTGTGTGCTGCAAGGTCTCAGTGCCAGCAGCTGGAGAAAAGGCCTCTGGTCACAGGAGCTGTTAGTCTCTGTGCCAGCAGCTGGAGGGACTGGGGTGTAAGGAAGTTCTTGGAGCCAGCAACTGGAGAAGGAAGAATGTGTCCCAGGGCTCATACCTCCTGGTCTCAGCAACTGCAGGGATCACATTGTACATGTGTGTGTGAGAGGTCAAAGGACCAGTGACTACAGGGACCTCAGTGCGTAACTCATTTTTGTCTGTGAATTGAAGCCAGCGTGCATGGATGCATATGTGGAATTTTCCAGCATATTTCAAGCTTGCCCAAGCAGTGAGCAGAAAGAAAAGGTGTATCTAAATTCTGAGCCAGAGGTGAGTAAGGGAGGTCAAGGCCAGCACATGGCTATTAGACAGGTTGATATTACCAAGCTGTGGTAATATTTGATGGATCTGCAACTTTTATGGTGGTTGTGAGAGGAGTGGGTGATTGCATGTATCTGTAAGTTGGAGAAAAACAGCCCAGTCTTGCTAGAGAGAAGCAGGAGACCCAGGTGCTGGATAAGAGGGCCCAGGCTGCAGGCAAAGCTATAGATGGGCTGAAGGCTTGTGTTGAGAGTTGAGGGACACACGAATGCGGGTGTGCTTGTGACTCCAGAGGGTGAGGAGGGGTGTGTGTGACTGGGGAACTGCATGTCACAGGCAAGCTGGAGACAGTCAAACAAAGGGCTACTTTGATGATGAAGAGATCAGAGATGATAAGCATCTCTGGTAGGCTGAGAATTCTGGGCCTGTTTAGCACAAAGAAGAGAAGTCTCAGGGGAGATCTTGTCAATTTGTACAAATATCTGAATTGTGGCTGTGAAGAAACTGGAGCCAGGCTCTTCCTCATGGTGTGCAGTGACAGGACAAGAGGCATTTGCACAAACTGAAACAAAGGAGGCTCCATCTGAACCCCAGGAAATCTTTTCTCACTGCGAGGGTGAGGGATCACTGGCACAGGATGTCCAGGGACATTGTGAAAAAACATGGAATTATGTTTTTTTTGGAGCCATGGGGATATAGGATGGGTGTAGATAGATCCCAGTAAGGATGGGACTGTAATCCACAGGACGTTGATTAAAGTGCCATTAATTGGAGACAACAAAGTAGGTAAAAGAGGATAACATGGTTGACATGTCCTGTCACATGTTGGGACTCCTGAGTTCTATGAGACTGGGCCTGCTCAGGTCAGGTGAACTTAACAACAAAGAACAGCTTGTTCTCTCTGCCATGACTGGTGCATGGGATCACTCTGGAGTTCATGTGGAAAGGGGGTGGGAGTAGGGGTCCCCACCCGCAGTACCCACACCCCTTCACATGACCTTTCAGCTCTGGGGTGCAGGGCTTCCCTATCCCCACCCCTCACAATGCAGCACTCTAACGGGTGCCCCATGTGCTCCCAAGGAGTGGGGGTGACCTACTCATCCCTCATCCTGTTCCCTCCAGATCCCTCAGGATTTCCCTAGAGTAGGAGTAGGTTCTCCTTGTCTTCTCTGGGTTTGTGGGATCTAACAGCAGTTTTGCGACCAGGTTCCTCTCTCGCATGGTCAGTTATCCCATCAGAAGTGGACACAGCCAGAACCCCTGGACTGCTGCACAGCAGGGTTCCTCTCCTTACTCGGGGGATTTGGGGGAGAGTTGTTGTTCCCAGGCAACTGAGGAAAGAAAGGGGAGAAGTGGGAGAAACAGAAGAAGAATAGAATTTCTTCCTTCCAGAAGAAATAGCAGTGTCTCCAGAGAGCTGAGGACCCCAGGGGAAGATATGAAACTTCACTGTGGAAGAAACCCCTGACCTGCCAAATGGCCCAGCAGTGGGTGTGCAAAAGAGCAGGTGATTCTAGCTGGGGAAGTGGGGACTTCACTGTGAGCTGACTGGGAACAGCCCCTTCCCACCACTGGGGCCCCCAGAGCCTCCAGGGCCCCTTAATGGGGAAATGTTGAGAATTGCACTGGCTGAGGGAGCCACAGGTGTGTCTGCTGGAGGAGGGAGAAACCCAGAAGGAGCATTTCAGGCCCAGGAAGAACAGATCACTGCTCTCCCCTGCTTCTTCCTTTGCCCCTCCAACAGAGTCGTTTCCGGCAGCTCTGTCATCTCGGGGCTGGGGGGTGCTTTTCTGACTCTCCTTCACTCGGCAAACAGGCAGGTTCGTCTCAGCATGAATCTCAGATATCTCATCCTTGTGGTCTTCCTGTGGCAATGGCTGGGTAAGTCCTGGTTTTCATCTATGTATTTTTTCTTCTTCAAGGAAACCCTTGCCAGCCTTATCAGGATCTTGCAGACAGCTACCTGGAATTACAGGAATATTCTGGGAAACGTTGGCTCACATTTGTGGTTTTTCACCAGTTCTTTCAAAGCACTCTTATGGTTTGAAAGAAGAGAGAAGTGATATCTCAGACAACTTCTCCCACTTTTCTTTCACTCTGCACACATTTCTCTCTGCCTCTCTCTTCTGCTCTTGACATAGGAGATCTGAGCGCTCTCTGCACCCTCACATTTTTCTCTTTCCATTGCAGATCAGTGAAAGCTATGCCAAGCACCTTAAAACTCTCATCCCACTGACATTACCAGAGTGTCTGATTCTGCCTCCTGGCTGGTACATGTCTGCTGTGGCTTCCAGTTTTCTCCTGGTTGTCAGCACAGCCAGGGATCCCTCTTTCTATCCTTCAGCTCAGTATTAAGAGTAAATCAGGGTGCTAGCAGCCCTTGGAGATGACAAGGATGGGGAAGTAGGATGAATATATTTCCCATAACTCTAAGGCTGCATCAACGTGATGGAGGGGTCCTACCCACAAAAGTTAGGCATGACAGGCTGTTCCCTGGTTGTCTGGCTAGTAGGAGCAGGGAGGAGCACAGCACAGCTCTTCTCAGGGGCCACGCTGCATTGAGAGCTCTGAGCAGCTGCGTTGAACTACTCTCCGCTTGGCTGTCCTCAGGCCTCAAGATATTCCTCAGGGCAAAATGACAGGAAGAATTCTCTGCCTGAGTTTTGAATCCACTCCTGGTTTGCTTCCCCCCCTGCACAATTTCTGACCTTCGCTTTCTTCCAGGCACCATGGGACAGGTCACTGTCAACCAGCAGGAAGGACAAGTCACAGTTAAGGAGAGAGACACCTTCCAGACCACCTGCACCTACAGAACTTCCAGCTTTGATGCCTTGTTTTGGTACCAGCAGAGGAAAGGCCAAAGTCCCCAGCTGGTCTCCTTCCAGGCGTCAGATGGCCACAAGCGCAGTGGTCGTCTCACCACCGAACTGAACACCACGGGGCAATACAGCCTCCTGCAGCTGGAGGAAGTCGAGGTCTCTGACAGTGCTTTGTACCTCTGTGCTGTGCGTGACACCTCGGTGCAGGGAGCTTCCCTGGCTGTACAAGAACCCAGGGGAGGGAGAGGATGTGTCTGTGCGAGGCTGAGGGTGGGGAAAGGGGCCCTCAGGTGTCCCCTGGCAGTGCTGCTTCCTCCCTACACCCAGGGATCTGCAAGGTAAGATCCTGTGATGAAATGTTTTCTGTCCATTCCAGACATCAATTTATGCAGCCATGAGCTTAAATTTTCCCATATCAGTCTTCTTATTGCCAGTGTATTGGAAGCTCTGGTGTCTGGTAAAACACAAGCAGCACACACATGAGCCATTGCATTTACATATTTGTTCACTTTGACCGCTATTAATAACTGCAGGGACATCCATCCTCCCTGACAACAACTGGATTTGTCTTGTCTCTGGTCACCAGCCAGACACACACAGATGATGTGTTATGGTCCCGTAGTAGAGTGGGATGCAGAGAGCCAAGCAGTGGCCACAGGACATGGGAGAAGTACTGAGAGAAGTACAGCTAGGCCATGCAGAACTGGAAGGAGATGGGTTTATCCCCTGGCCTATCTCCAGCATCTTTGGAAGGAAGACACTGGAGAAGAAGCTTTTTCTCTTCAGTCATTTTGAGCTAGACTTCATCAGCTATAATTCCCTCTTGGTCAAGGACACAGCTGTGGGGAATTCGATCCTTGCACTTGTACACTTTTGTCAAGACATCTGGATTTTCATGCAGGAAATAGGATATGGGACTGTAGTGGCTGCCAGGAGACATTTCCACTGACCAGAAGGGATGAGATCTACATGTAAAAAAGTCCTCTCCCCCCACAATGGCAGCCCATCCCTGAGCACAAATTCTCAAGGGGGACCAATGAAGCAAAGAGCTCTGCATTTACCTACACCTCTATTGGAAAGTGCAGCCAGTTCCCTCGTTTTGGCTGATCTTCTCATTCCCCTGCATGTTCTTTATAAGAGAAATTTGATCTCCCTTAGAAATACACCCTTTCACTGTCCCCATTTCTGTGCTGACTGCCCTCAGCTCCCACATCCTTAGCTCCAGTTTCCAGCCTCAATGCACTCAGCAGCATGGGCGACTTTCCCTGCTGATGCCTCCAGAGCATGGTCCCTAGACTGGGTGGTGCAGGGGAGAGGTCATCCCAAGGGCTTTTCCCTTCATTACCACTGCAGATATTCTGCTGTGCCAAACATCTTCCAGAGCTCCACACCCATTGCCCCACCACCCCAGAAAAGCTCTGACCACAGCAAGAGGAGTTCCCTTCCTCAAGAGCTCATGGGGCTGCTGAGCCCTCAGGGCCTCCTGCCTTTCTGGGCATTTGCAGGCAGAGACACAACAGGGCACGGCCTGATGGTCACTGGCAGCAGAGCAGCCCAGGATGTCTTCCTCAGCTCCAAGGGATGGTGCTCAGAAGAGGAGCTACTGCAGTGAGTCCCAACCTCCCACTCCTCTGTGAATGGAGAAAGGTCTCTTTGTGCTCTCATCCCCTCCTACCCCTTCTCCTTTGGAATCTAGAGAACTGTCCACAGAGAGAATGACCACACAGAGGCCAGACTTGAATGCAACAGAATTTTAATGATTCAAAAGAAGGAAACAAAGCCACTCCATATGGAGGCCACCAATGCATGGAGCCCCAGAGGCAGCTGAGAGTCTGTGGTCCTTCACCATGGAGAAGTTTCTGCATCATGTTTGTTGTCCTGGCCCAAAAAAGAGATGAGACAGGTGGTCCCCACCAAGTTGGCATTAAGGGGACAAGGAGATCCATAGCAAACAAGGAAAAGTGAGAGAAAGAAAAAGCCATTCAGCTGTACTGAAAACAACATTGAAACTAATCTTTTGCCCAGCACCATGTTCTGAGTTCCTCAAGGTGTCTCCCTTGGACTTTCCCAGCACCTTATTAGAGGAGGGACCTTCTGCCATAGTAGCGGCTGGAAATGCCAGAGAGGTCACAGCACCCAGAGGTGATGGGCACTCCATCACAGCTGAGGATGCTGCCAACAGCAGCAGAGGTGGAGGAGCCCACCACGGTGTTCTGAGGGAAGGAGCTGAGGATGGGACCAGGCAAGGTCACTGCCACGGGAGAGAGCCATTCAGCTGTACTGAAAACAACATTGAAACTAATCTTTTGCCCAGTACCATGTTCTGAGTACATCAAGGTGTCTCCCTTGGACTTTCCCAGCACCTTATTAGAGGAGGGACCTTCTGCCATAGTAGCGGCTGGAAATGCCAGAGAGGTCACAGCACCCAGAGGTGATGGGCACTCCATCACAGCTGAGGATGCTGCCAACTGCAGCAGAGGTGGAGGAGCCCACCACGGTGTTCTGAGGGAAGGAGCTGAGGATGGGGCCGGGCAGGGTCACCACCACAGCAGGAGGCTCAATGACAACGGTGGAGTTCTGGCACTGCCTGACACAGGGCTCGTTGCAGCTGTTGGCCAGTGGAGTCGGGCCGCAGGGCCGGCAGGGCAGGCACTGGTTGTAGCAGGACATGTCTCTGGACTTGAGGTTCACCTGGTAGAGCAGCAGGGAGGAAACAGAGCACAGGGGTGGGTGAGGAGCAGGCTAGTTATCCTGTCACAAAGAAGCCATGGGAACTACCGAGTGGTGTGCTGGGAGCCAGAGTGGAAGCTGTTCTAGGTCTTCATCGCCCTACAAAGAGCAGTCTGGCCCATGGAGGGTCTCCTGTAATCTGTAAAGCAGAAGCCACCTCAGCTATGTCCCAGCCTCTCTCTAAGTAGACCTTCTCCTTGCTTCCCTCTTCTATGACAAGACGATGGAGGACACAGCAGAGGACAGAGCCAATATCAGCTGAGACATCCATTGAGCAGAGATCTCACTTTGGAAGAAAAGGAGAAGGGGTTTCAGACTCACCTGGTTCCCAAGGAGGAGGAGGCCAGAGAAGTGAATGAGAGAACAGGGACCTGCACTGGCATTTATACCTGCCCTTCATTGCCACAGGAGCAGAGGTGCCCTTTGCAGAGGTAACAATTTTCTGACAAGCTCATCTTGAATGCAAACCATCACACCTAATGATATGGGCTGTGCTTTGGTTTACAGCACTGCTGTCTTTTCATTTCCAGGTTTTGCCATGCCTGTTCCCCAAGATCTCACTTTGGAAGAAAAGGAGAAGGGGTTTCAGACTCACCTGGTTCCCAAGGAGGAGGAGGCCAGAGAAGTGAATGAGAGAACAGGGACCTGCACTGGCATTTATACCTGCCCTTCATTGCCACAGGAGCAGAGGTGCCCTTTGCAGAGGTAACAATTTTCTGACAAGCTCATCTTGAATGCAAACCATCACACCTAATGATATGGGCTGTGCTTTGGTTTACAGCACTGCTGTCTTTTCATTTCCAGGTTTTGCCATGCCTGTTCCCCAGCGAAGGCTTCCTGTGATCACTGAGATGAAAGGCCCCAGGATTAAAAGACCTCAGGAATAAAAGGAAAGTTTATAGTCTTTGGAAAAAGGGGTTGGCAACTTATGAGGAATATCAAGGCGTAGTGAAGCTATGCAGATGGAAAATTAGAACGGCAAAAGCTCAAGCAGAACTCAGCTTGGCCACTACAGTTAAAGATAATAAGAAGAGATTTTTTCAGTATATCAATAGAAAAATGAAGACTAGGGAAAATGTAGGTCCACTGATGAATGAGGTGGGTGCCTTGGTGTTGGAAGACACAGAGAAGGCGGAGTTACTGAATGCCTTCTTTGCTCTGGTCTTCACTGCTAAAGCTGTCCTTCATGAATCCCAGACCCTGGAGACAAGGGGGAAGGTCTGGAGAGAGGAAGATTTTCCCTCTGTAGGGGAGGACTGGATTAGAGACCACCTGGCCAAACTAGACATCCATAAGTCTATGGGCCCAGATGGGACACAACCGCAAGTGCTATGAGAGAACTAGCAGATGCTATTGCTGGGCCACTCTCTATCATCTTCAAAAGGTCATGGAGAACAGGAGAAGTACCTGGAGGAAGGCAAATATCAATATCCAGACTACGAAAAAGGCAAGATGGAGGACCCAGGAAACTACAGGCCAGTTAGTCTCATCTCTGTCCCTGGGAAGGTAATGGAGCAATTTGTTCTGGATGTCATATCCAAACACATTGAAGAACAGGAAGTTATTGGAAGTGGTCAAAATGAATTTACCAAGGGCAAATCCGAGAACTAGCAGATGCTATTGCTGGGCCACTCTCTATCATCTTCAAAAGGTCATGTAGAACAGGAGAAGTACCTGGAGGAAGGCAAATATCACTCCAGACTACGAAAAAGGCAAGATGGAGGACCCAGGAAACTACAGGCCAGTTAGTCTCATCTCTGTCCCTGGGAAGGTAATGGAGCAATTTGTTCTGGATGTCATATCCAAACACATTGAAGAACAGGAAGTTATTGGAAGTGGTCAAAATGAATTTACCAAGGGCAAATCCTGCTTGACCAATCTGATAGTCTTCTATGATGTTATAACTAGATGGCTGGATGACGGGAGAGCAGCAGATGTCATCTACCTTGACTTAGGCAAAGCTTTTGACACTGCCTCCCATAATACCTTAAGCTGAGGAAATGTGTGCTGGATGAGGGGGCAGCGAGGTGTATTGAGAGCTGGTTGTGTGACAGGACTCAGATGGTTGCCATAAATGGAGCAGGTTGGAGGCCTCTAACCAGTGGTGTCCCACAAGGGTCAATAATTGGTGCAGTCTTGTTCGACATATTCATCAATCACCTGCATGAGGGGATAGAGTGTGTCTTCAGCAAGTTCACTGATGATACCAAACTGGGAGGACTGGCTGACACTTCAGAGGACTGTGCTGCCATCCAGCATGACCCGGACAGGCTGGAGATCTGGGCAGAGAAGAACCTAATGACGTTCAATAAGGGCAAGTGTAGGGTCCTGCACCTGGGGAGGAAGACACCAATATAGGTTAGGGATGGAGCTGCTGGAAAGCACTTCTGAGGAAAAGGATCTAGGGGTCCTGGTGGACAGTAAACACTCCATGAGCCAGCAATGTGCCCTTGTTGCCAAGAGGGCCAATGGAATCCTGGGCTGCACAGGGAAGAGTGTGACCAGTAGGTGGAGGGAGGTCATTCTTCCCCTTTACTCTGCACTGGTAAGGCCACAACTGGAATACTGCATCCAGTTCTGGGTTCCCCAGTTCAAAAAAGACAGGGAACTACTGGAAAGAGTCCAGCATAGGGTAACTACGATGATTAAGGAATTGGAGCATCTTCCTTATGAGGGAAGGCTGAGAGAGCTGCGATTCTTTAGCCTGGAGAAGAGAAGGCTGAGGGGAGACCTTACTAATGCTTACAAGTACTTAAAGAGTGGTTTGAGGGAGGAGGGAGGTGGACTCTTTTCAGTGGTTCCCAGTGACAGGACATGGGCACAAGTTGGAACATAGGAAGTTCCATTCAAATCTGAGGAAAAACTTCTTTACAGTGGGGATGCCAGAGCCCTGGAACAGGCTGACCAGGGAGGGTGTGGAGTCCCCTTCTCTGGAGATCTTCAAGACCTGCCTGGATGCAGTCCTGAGTAATGTGCTATGGGCAATCCTGCTTTGGCAGGGGAGTTGGGCTAGATGGTGTCTAGAAGGTCCCTTCCAACTCCAACAATTCCATGATTACATGATTTCCAGGGCAGGAATGCAGCACTGCATGCAGAATACTCAGCTCAAGTGCTGGATGGGTTCAGATGACAATAGCCTGGGTCACTCTGTTGGGATTTTTTGAAGTGTCATTCTGAGGAAGTTGTGCCATCCATCCTTGCCTGGATGCCTATGGGCTC